ATTATACTTTTCGGGAGATACTACCTTCTTTTTTTCTCGTCTCTTTTTTTTTTTTGTCGGTTACGCGTGACAAGGTTAGACTAAGAGGAGTTGAACCCCTAAAAATACTATGAAGCGAACATAACAAATAGCGTTCTCGGCTGTGCGTTGATGTTTCACAGTGGCGTCTCGAGCACACATTTCGGGGTGTTCTTGAGAGGCGCCGAGCCAAGGAACGGCCGAGAGTGAGGCGCCAGCGGACAAAAAAGGGGATGCAGAGAGAGAGTGAACGTCGAATGAATTAGCGGTGCATCACTGCACCTACCCTCTCTAACACTTTCTCGCACCACATGCTCCGGTTGCTAGGGGCGAGGATAAGCGCGCGCACCCGCAGCTGTTGCTATGGTAGAGGGAGTGACAGCGGAGAGATACCGCCTGCCAGTGCGCGGACACCGCCGCGGACGCCGTGGATGCCTGACAAAGCCCGACTAAGAAATGCATTGGCATTTAAAAAAAATGATAGGACACCGAATGTGCTGCGTGTTCCTTCACGCGACATTCCCAAACTTGAACACATTTCAGCTTTGCCACAGTATTTGGTTCTTTCGTAAGCCTACAGTTGAGTGTGCTCTGACACGGGAGTGCAGGTTTCCGCTTGCCTGCAAATAACACACTCCAACAACTTTCGAATGGAACAGACAAAGTGTTTATTTACGTTTATTGCTATCAATGACATTTTCGTCACAGTTCGCCCATCGTTTTTGTGCAACAACCCAACGCGTTCAAACCAGCTTGACGTGGTCCAAGAGAATCAATTTTAATTGCGATTCATTCATTTTTGAAGCTACCAATGGTTTGCACGAGAGCCGCCGAGAAATTATAATGAGGTGCTAACATCGGTTCATCGCTGCTATAAGCAAAAGAGTGACGATGGTAATCAAGTGAAGCGCCTTGTTTCTAGGAAATGTGTGGGGTACGTGGCACCGTACAGCGATGACGCGATGATGGTATGCTAATTGATCGCTAGAACCTCAGTGAAGCTTTCACTAAAGATCAGATTGTGGCATTTTAGCTTTCAGTAGTTGCGTTGTCGGTGGAAATGTATTTCCTACAACACTTGCGTCCAGCTCATACCTTAGTATGAACTGGACGCAAGTGTTTTTTTTCTTCATATTAAAAGAAAGACGTACAAGACATCTGGCATGCGTAACAATTTGAACACATTCTTTTGTCACTGCTGACCACATCCTTGCTTCACTGTCACAATGTTACTTAACCATTGATCTGCCTTGCAGCTATGCAGAAGTTTTCAAGAATGAAGCAGCAGCGGCGAATAATTGGTTTAAACATTGTTATATTGTCATTAAACAGTCAGCTGTCTAGAGAAGTAGTTTATATGCATATTTAAGATTGTACGATACAGAGCGTTATTGTATTTCATGACAGGGAGCCTCTTCTCTAGTGCACTTTTTTATGACAAACAATTCACGCTTAGTTTACTATACTAAGACCACCTGCGAAGGTCTCAAAACATGTGAGCACAGTTTTCATGAACAAGGAGAGACGAGCAATCGTCTTGATACGACAAGTTAGGCACAACCAAAGCCCGCAGAAAAAGATGTATGCGTTCTATCTTGAATTAACACGCGTCTAAAACTAAAATAATAGTTCGCTCATGCTGTTTTAAAGCTGCTTAAACAACAGTTGACCTGAGACTGACTTTCCCCCGATTTTTGGTCATATCTGCTTATCAGTAAGCCAACGAAATAAAATTCAAACTTCACTGTGCAACATTCCTCTATTTGATAATGAAGGCATTTACCTTTGCTGTTCACATTATTCACTAAATCTCAAGTATTATGGTTTCGCATTGCGTGTTATTGTTGTTTGAAATGTTCTGCATTACAGAAACATACAGCAGAAATAGACGCCGATTTCAGGATGACATATTTAGTATAATTAAAAATAGAGAATTCACATACATCAGCATTCTCTTCATTTTGATTTACTCAGCGGTGTTTTAAGGGGAGATGCTACTCGAAGACACTTTTTTTATTATTCACACTAGAGCAATGAAACTTGAGCTGTTTATGGAACTTTTTATGCTGATTTCAAATATATAAGTAGTTTTCTTGCAAGTTACACACTTTCAGCTCTGCAATATGATGAAGTGAAAACATTAACCGTTTTGCCCCCCTCTTTTTATCCCTAAACTTCTGTAAGTTTTTACCATTTATAGTTCATTATGCTTCAAATAAAGTGTAGAGTCCAAATAGCTGATTAGGAAACACATACAAAATATGTAATATGCGTGAAAAATAATAGACGTAAAAAGTCCATATTTCTCCTACCATAGTAAAGGTTTACATACAATTTCTTTATTATACAATAAATTATAGAAATTTAAACAAGATAATTGGATTGGCCATATTTTGGAAAAAATTTGGGCAAAGTTTTAGAATTTGGGCAAAGCACTAGCAGTGCCCGAAAAAGGAGAGGCACATGGGGAAAAAGTGGCGAAATTTGTGTTTTGAGAAGAACGAGTTTTAATGTTAAAATTGAGTTTTATTTATGAAAGATATCATTAAATCAGATGAAATTTGCACATCACAAAAGAACAATCCTTATTGTAGTGGCCAACGCCACTAAAATACGCCAGCACCATGAGTTTGTCCCTCTCAGCTTTTTCGAACCGACTCCTCCCAGACATTTCGCTCACAGACAGGGCCATGAAACGCTTGCCAAACTTCCGCTCCATCTGGCAGAGCTTTGTGCCAACTGCAAGCTAGGAAGAAGTTTGACAGGACTGCGAGATCCAAACTAAGTCCAGTGTCATGCCATTTTGCAGCCATGCTTGTGCCACATACCTTCGTACATAATGGCAATGTCGTCCCTGCTAAGTTCTCTCACTGCGAGCTTTTTTGACCTCTCAAGATTGGCGCTGACGTCATCCATTTGCGCATCACGAACTTTCCGGCTGACGGGTGTGAATGACTTTTGATGCATCGGCTTTTGCAAGCCAAGAACTCCCGCAAATCGGACCAGCTGCTCGTAGCCTATTCCTACAGAGCGCGCTGCACAACGGCTTTCACTTGCGAGCAATGCCTTTTTTAATTCATAACAAAGATAATTACACGAGAAAAGCATTGTTCAGCTGTGGCGCTCGACAAGACATGGGCACCGCAAATAGGTCTCAGAGCACATACAGACGCGAAGCGGCCAATGGCGGTCCCCGATTCGTACCATGTGATAAGCCAGTCGCGGCGCCCGAAAAACGCGCAGAAGAGTGCTTCTTTTTTATTATTTCTTGCGCTGCGTCAGCGAGAGAAACTGTTGTTATTTGAAGAGTGAGGCTCGACTCTTCGACTCATACGATCAACAATGGCGAGCGGCGGCGCATTATCGGCGGCAAGGTGGTCGAAGACTGCACACTTTCGACCTTTTAACAGGCACCTTGGGCTCTTCAGATGCAATTTTAAAGCATTTTCAGTTAAGTCTCGACCTGTATTATTCTTTTCATAACAGTAGAGGTACTAATCTTATAGAAACAGGCGAAAATAAAAAATCGGTACTTTGAAAAAAACTCGCGTTTTTCGACCCGCATCTCCCCTTAAACCAGCTACTTCAACACCATCACTTCTAAGTGTCTTCAGTATAAATATTGAACTTTCACTTTTCTAATTTTGTTAACTAATTTTTCCCTGGATCATTATTAGGAAGATCCTTAATTTGGCCAATAGATTTCGTTTTCCTTTTTATTTCTTGGAGATATTTCAGTAATTGTAATGTTGCAAGCCATACCAACTGTGAACTTCTAGTACCTGATCCCTTTTAGTTAGTTGTATAATGCCCTATTATACGCGTTGTATCGTTGCAAATAAAAATGAACTGGAGAACGGATGCACGGAAAAGTTAGATCATAAGTTCACTCCTTGATTCCTGCATTTATGTTTGATTCCTTAACTTGTTAGACCAGTGATTTAATGGCCAAGATGCTTCGTGCAGTAATTAATTACTGCTTAGCGATGAAGTTCTTGCCTCATTTCTGCCGACGACGTGTGGTCACGTTTAAGACGCCAGCATCTTGCAATGATCAGTTTTAGAAAGAAATAATGTCAAGTTATTCCGCAGGGTTGCATACGCCGAATAGCGACTGAGTGGGTATACCCTGTGGTGGTAAAGATGAGCAGACACAACGCGTCCTATACGCAAGCTCAGATATGGTAACGCCTCCTGTCAATCAGGCTGACTTGGGTCAACGCGAGATATTACTGCGCATCATAGAAGGCTTACGAACGTCTGCGATTCCACTATAGTAATTATATGTGAAGCCTCGATGAACTGGGGCTTTTATTTATTCTTGTGTCCGTCTAAAGCAACGCATTCATTGAATTTCGGCGTGAAGTTACTATGTCATGAGTGCGAAAAATGGTTGGATAGTGGCGAGATTGCTGAAAAGAATTCAATGTACCCTAACAGAAAGGCAGCCTCTAAATTTTCTGGTGTCTTTTACGATACTAATGTACGTCCTACGTTTGTCCTTTATGTGTTCCTTCTATTTCTGCAAGGGGTTGCATATCTTGTCCAGGTAATTGGCAATCGTAGAAATACGTTGACAATATTTACTTCCCCCTTTCTTGAGCCTATACGATTTAAAATTTATGTAAATGATCTCTGTGCCTATTTCTTTGTCATATTTTTTTCTGCTCACTGCTCTTATTGTGCCTGCGTGCCTTACCTTCTTTTATCACGAATGCTAAATTAGTGAGTGGATAGGGGTGGGACATCGCCAAGCACCCTACGAGGTTATCCACTATACAATATAATACATACCGACTGCTTCATCGTCATTTACATGGTCACAGAAGTTGAGATACACACTCAATCTCGAGCCGGTTGTGCTGGCACTGGTGTTCACTGAACACCTATAAAATAATAAAAAAGAAAAGCTTTATTTTTTCAACGGATATAAACGTACTACCATAAATTCATGTTTCTAAAACTGATATCAATTAGATTATCTGCCAATCCTCCCGAGTGAGTACAGGTGGAAATTGTGAGGACCATCGGCATAAACATTATTAGCTGACATCTGTCGGCGTGTAATCGGGAAAACACCTGGTTTTCAATTGGCGAAAAGGAATTCTGGATTTCCTTTTCTCCCGTGAGCTTTCGTCCGTCCAAGACCACACAGCATAGTAACCCGGACGCCTACCAAGGGCACCACCTTTTTTTGATGGCGCGCGTGCCAGTAAACGTCCAGTAAACTGAGCTAAGATTTCATGACCTTGCGCGGCATTCTTTGCTCTTGCAGAACGGAGATTTGCGCTATTCAGAGTCATGGTATTCTAAACAGTGACATTTAACTATATTCGCAAAGAAGCTCCGAGAAATTTCATGGTCGAGCCTCAGAAGAGATTCGCATAGGAGTGTATAGTCTGCTCCTCTAGCGTGATGGTGGCGCCAAGATCCTGGAGAGGACTCGAGTCCTGGGCAATCTCGGGTCCGTGGCTCGCTTGACGCAGCAGGTTTCGGCGCCACTTGGCTCGTGCATTCTGAAACCACACCTGCCATGCAGGCAGAATGCCATTAGTAAGGCACACTATAATGTCGCAAGGGGAAATAGACAGTGTTCGACTGCGTTTTCGTATGCGGAGTTGTGGCCTTCGTGCAGAACCACACACAAATCAGTTGGAGTAGAAGGCACTTGAGCACAAAAACATGTTTAACAAAAAGATTATGGTAAAAATTAGAGCGGGTGGTCTCCGTGTAACTTTTGATGCATTTGTGCGATCCACACTGCTCAAAATTGACGCAATCAGGTTGTGCGGACCAGCTACCCAGTGATTATGGTGGTTTCAACAAATGTTTCTGACCGCCAGAGTCATGGCTATATACCTCACAAGTGCTGAGTTTGGTCTGTCCCACCAGTTGCCCTTCTGCCAATTTCTTCCTGGCATTGAAGAAAAACGGCTATTTGGGCTAGTTGGTTTGAATTCATGGTAATAAGGGCTGCAGCGCGAGCATGAAGGTGCTAGAAGAAACGTGAAACGAAAGGTGAGGCAAGGAAAGCAAAGAAGACAACGCGAGCGCAGACTACCACCTGAATTTCATTATTCGCAGCATACATGATAATATATACAACAGGCAACCAGCAAACGTGAGCAACGTGACATATTCTGGAGAAGGGTCTGATAAAAAGAAGGTACAATGATAAAATGGCTAACCCTTATATAAAAGCGCGAACTCTTTGTCATGCAAGGCCACCGAAGGTTGGCTCACGCATCCGTCACCATGTTTTCTAATAAAATACGCTTCAGCTATTTCACGAGTTAATTTGTCCGTGTGGCGTACCAGCACACTCACGCCCGGAAATCGAGGCTGGCACCCACAGCTTTTGCAGCGCAAAACAAGGTTGGAACTAATTCCTTTGCAAATATCATTCATATGTTCTCCTAACCTTTTTTTAATGCACCACCCAGTTTGGACTATATAACAACGACCGCACGTTAAAGGAAGCATGTAAACAACACCAACTGCGCAAGCTACAAATTTTTTTTCTTCACACGAAAGTGAACTTCGTCTGAGAAAAAAATGAAAATTAAAAGTGTGACGCGCATGACTACAATAATAAGCTATACATTGACAGATGAATTTCGATTCCTCTGAAACGCCAACCTTGTAGCTGAATCAAAAACATAGACCACTGACCCAGCGTCACCTAGCGGCTACGAGAAGCTAGTCATATTACGGGTCTTGGCGAAACAAGCCATTAAATCTACCGGAGTCTACATTGATGGAGTTCTATATGCTGGAGAGAGAAATGTTTATTGATACAGAAAAGCTGACAGGTCAGCCTGAATCCATGTTCCAGCGTGCTATTCAGCGTTAGGAAAGGGGAGGGGGTGAAAACAATTAGAGATAGAAGATGTTGATGACGATGAAGTAGGTGGCGATGAAGCAAGACCTTGGATCGATTATGGTCTCTTGTCGAGTTCTGTATCCCTTAAAAACGTATCTCTTAAAAACATGGCTTCACAATTGGGGGCCTGTGGCACCGCTTTCAGAATATCGCGGTGATGACGAGGTGGTGCAAACAAAACTTTTTTTGGAAGCTACCTGCTTGGTAGATTTCATCAAGACGGTGGCCATCGAATTTTTTCGCACGATATATTGTGGGCAGACGCACAAGATATGTTCAGTTGTCTCAGGGGTGCCACAGGCCTCACAACTGGGGGGCTGTTTGCACGGCTGATAGAGTATAGGTAACGATGAATAAACGCCACACCTAATTATAATAATGGCAGTGCAATAAGCTTGCACTGCACCTTTTCATTTTCATAGTTGGCGGTAATCTAGCATGCATATCTGGGTGAATTTAATGAAGACGGTGTTGATGGTGACAGAGTATAGGTAATGATGAATAAACGCCACACCTAATCATAACCATGGCAGTGCAATGAACTTGCACTGCAACTTTTCATTTTCATAGTTGGCGGTAATCTAGCATGCATATCTGGGTCAAGTTAATGAAGACGGTGGTGAAGGTGACTTGGTAAGGACGGATATTCTGCTGCAGTTTCTTGGAGTAGTTTATACACAACAGTTAGTATCCGGTCTTGAAAACGGAATAGTCAATGTTGCGGCGTTATCGTGAGCCATTTTCGCCTCCGCATTGGCTTGCTCGTTTCCATGTAGGTCACAATGTCCTGGAATCCACTGATAACTTATACGATGGCCACTTTGGCTACATCGTGCGATTCAGCGACATCTTGAGAAAGAAGATGATATGGCCCCCATTTGAGCATCAAATTTACTACCTAAAGGGCTTGTTTAGAATCACAAAATATAGCCGAGCTGCAAGGCGGCTGTGTCGATATATAACGAATTACCTCGCGGGTGACCACAATCTCTGCCACCGTTGATGTTGTTCGATGGTCTAGACGGAAGTGTTCGCTGGTCTTTAAACTTGGTATGACGAGAGTTCTAAATGCTGGATCTCATTGTAGCTATGCGAAAAATATGTACCGCAGTCCTGCTTAATGTAGTTCCTTCAACTAAACGTACGAATGCGGTTGTCATGTCTTCCAAAGCGTATTCCTAAAGTGTCTTCTTTTCATATCATGTTTTCAACTTTATTACGCATTATGGCTTAGTAAATACCGTCGTATTCTTATATTATTATTGCGAATCTTGTCGTACTGCATATAGTTATAAAGTTTGTACCTGTAGCACTCTCTTGCTGAGGCCCGTGCGAAGAGACAGCTGCTTCAAGTCCTTGGAGTCCGGGTTGTGGTTGACAGTAAAGTAGGCCTTCATCGCGCGCAGCTGACTGTGCTTGAAGGAGGTGCGCATGCGCTTGTTTCGCTCTGCGAGATTGCACAAGACGAAGCGTACTTCAGAAAGCAATCAGAAATAACATGTTGTGTTTTCTCTCGTTATTTTTTTTAGTTAGTTAGTAGTGGCATTAAAGAAATAATCAATATGCTGATATTCGTTGCATCAATTATAGTCGTTAACATACTGTTTTAATGAAGAAGAAAATCAATTAAACTATGACATCACTCTTACTTCGACATGGCTGTTTTGAAATGAAAGCGCAATACTTAGACGCGGACAGCAAGACAGAGACAAGCGCTTACTACCAACTTGAAATTTATGAAATACATACTGACAGATGAAACAGTGTCATGGCACATACGATAAGACCAAATCACGGACCAAATAACAAAACAGATAGCATCTATGTACGTCAGCCCCACCCTACCAACGCCTACTGTGCTTTCGAGTGATTACTTAACTCCGATGGCATCTACAACTGTCTAAAAATGCTATCTCCTTATCGGACAGAGCTATCTATGGCTCGCTGACGCTATTCAGGTGTTCACGCGCTATGTATGCTGCCTCAATTAAAAGCCTTGTGCACTCATCTTTGTGTTTGTAAAGTACGACTGTGTTATCAGACTTTGTTATTCCACAATGGCAACCATGAAGTGTTAATTATCACTGAACACGTCAGCAGTTATTTAACATCTACATGTGTAGTAAACGATAGCTCCTGTCAGCAGACACTTAAACAAATATACAATTCACAAGGCTATTTCTATCTCTCTCTTGTTCACTTTGATAGTAACGATTACGAATACCAATGGCTGGCTGCGATTGGCTCAGCAAAGTTTCATCAAAAAGACACTTGCAGGTGATCGACCAAACCACTGTGATCCAGTCCCTATGTGTAGGTAATGCATAGTTCAGTGGTTCTCACTCATGGGTGTTTCGGAGACCCCTTTGGAACTGATGAAATGCACGAGGAAACCCTTTCAGCGAGAGAATGTGATCGTGCAGAGGGTGGGGGAGCGGTCATAAATTAACACATGTAGACTGAAATATGCGCCTAATATTCTCTGCTGCAAAAAAGGCCTGAACTGAAGCACCCCACCAATTCTATCTCAGCACCACGTCAATACGTTTTGTGGTGTGTAGCCAAATTCAACCTGTTCCTAGCACTGTTTTCCCTTCAAATATACATGCCTAGAAAAAATATGCGTGCGTACATATGTCGTAAAAGACCGTAACAAAAGTTTTTTCGGCTTCTGATGAAAAAGTAGAAGCGTAAATTTGCTCCGTTGCATTGCGAGAATGTCATGTGAGAAAGCAAATCGAATATAAGAAGGAACCTACTTTTCTGCCTACCTACCTACCTACCTACCTACCTACCTACCTACCTACCTACCTACCTACCTACCTACCTACCTGCCTACCTACCTACCTACCTACCTACCTACCTACCTACCTACCTACCTACCTACCTACCCACTTACCCATCTATCTATCTATCTATCTATCTATCTATCTATCTATCTATCTATCTATCTATCTATCTATCTATCTATCTATCATCTTTTCTGGCCGCCATCGACTTTTAGCTCTCCCGGCCGTTTTAATAGCGGGATCTATACATAAATTGGTATGGCATAACATGACTGTATGATGAGCGCAATTGACTAGTCATAACATGAAAATTATGATATGCGTGTAATGAATGTCATGCTTTACATGTAATGGTCTTGCTGCTCTTGCGGTGGTTTCGTTCACATGACATATCTCGAAACTTGTATGGTATGACATGACTGCATAGTGAACCTAAATGACAGGCCCTCACATGGAAATCATGACATGCGTGTCCTGTTAGTACATGACTACATGCCATGCTCATGATGCACTCGCACTCGTGGCCATTTCGCTAGCTTCACATACGCCAAATTCGGTATTACGTGACGTGAATGGAAGATGAAGTAATGCGACTGGTGCAAGCACGATAATTCTCACATGCATGTCATGGAAGCACATGACTAAATGCCACGCTCGTGATACACTCCTGGTCGTTTCGCCACCTTCACATATACCATAATGCCACGTTCCATTTCACAAGTTTTTGTTATCGTTCCGAAACACCACACGATTCTCGGCACAAACCGCGCCTGCAGGTTTCGAGAAGGTTCCGGACTGTAGTAGATCATTTCGATAAGATCACGCCCACTGTGCGAACGGTACAGATTGTTCTGAAACCTACGCCACCGCCAGCGATAATGCTAGAACATTCGACGGCAAGGGTATAAATGCCGACGCGCTTCGCCGCTTGTCAGTTGTTGATCGAAGGCCGACGCTGCGTTCGCCGCTATCACTGCTATCTGTGCAAGACTGCTGCTGTAATTAGACTTTCCCTTTACCGGGCACAGGTTCGCCCAAATAAACAGTTAAATCCCAACACGAAGTTTCCTGTCTTTGGCCACGTCACGACCCCGTGACATCTGGTGGAGGTGCTGGGTACGATCCCAGTACCCAGCACCGAAATATCGACGTAGCCCAGATGATGGCGAGGCACTCCTTTTCTGTTGTGGAATAATTTGCTTCTGCTTTGGATAGCGATCGGCTGGCGTAACCAATAACCCTTTCAAGTCCGTCAGCCCTCTGCACACGAACGGCGCCAAGACCTACGCTGCTTGCGTCAGTATGTATTTCTGTCTCGGCGAATTCGTCGAAATGGGCAAGTAACGGAGGCGTCGTTGAAGGCAGTCAGCATCTGTTGGTCACCCGAAATATTTGCGTCGCAAGAGGAATTGCAGAGCTGCGGGGAGGCAAAGCAACGGTTATGCTCGCGAATTTCAGCAATGAGTACAAACATGTGAACAAAGGAACAACGGTCGCATACATCGAAGAAATTGTCGAAGCCACCAGTGCTTTCGCCCTCGCCGATTCTGCGGAACCTGCTCAGAGGAACCAAGCCCCTCCCATAGCTTTCGACGTCAATCCCAGACTTCCGAACGATAAGCAAGCACAGCTCAAGGCCCTGCTCCTGCAATACGAAGATTGCTTTTCGTCGTCATCGAAAATTCGGCAGACCCCAATCACGAAACATCGCATCATAACCGAAGAAAATGCCAGACCACTCCGTCAGAGTCCGTACAGGGTTTCGACGCGAGAACGTGAGGCCATGAAGAGACAAGTTGATGAAATGCTGCGGGATGACATTATCCAGCCGTCCAAGAGCCAATGGGCGTCCCCCGTGGTGTTAGTGAAGACAAAGGATGGGACCCTACGTTTCTGCGTCGATTATCGCCGCCTGAACAAAATCACAAGAAAGGACGTGTATCCTCTCCCACGAATAGACGACGCACTTGATCGCCTCCATAACGCCAAGTACTTTTCGTCAATGGACCTCAAGACTGGCTATTGGCAAATCGAAGTCGACGAAAGAGACCGAGAGAAGACGGCGTTTATAACACCGGACGGCCTCTTCGAGTTTAAGGTGATGCCCTTCGGCCTTTGCTCAGCGCCTGCAACTTTTCAACGCTTTATGGATACAGTACTGGCAGGATTGAAGTGGCAGACTTGCCTTGTGTACTTAGATGACGTCGTCGTGTTTTCCTCGAGTTTCGACGAGCATCTTCGGCGCCTTGAACCTGTACTTCAAGCCATCAAGACGTCCGGACTCACACTGAAGCCAGAAAAGTGCAGATTTGCGTATGAGGAGCTCTTGTTTCTGGGGCACGTTATCAGCAAGTCTGGAGTTCGTCCCGATCCGCGGAAAACAGCCGCCATCGCCAACTTCCCGCCGCCCACTGACAAGAAGGCCGTGCGCCGATTTCTGGGCCTGTGCGCCTATTATAGGCGGTTCGTGAAAAACTTCGCCCGCATCGCCGATCCTCTCACTAACCTTACCAAAGCCGACGTGGAATTCAAGTGGGAAACGCCACAGGAACACGCTTTCCAGGAGCTTAAACATCGCCTCCAGACGCCTCCGTTACTTGCCCATTTCGACGAATTCGCCGAGACAGAAATACATACTGACGCAAGCAGCGTAGGTCTTGGCGCCGTTCTTGTGCAGAGGGCTGACGGACTTGAAAGGGTTATTGGTTACGCCAGCCGATCGCTATCCAAAGCAGAAGCAAATTATTCCACAACAGAAAAGGAGTGCCTCGCCATCATCTGGGCTACGTCGAAATTTCGCCCCTACCTCTACGGCAGGCCCTTTAAAGTTGTGAGCGACCACCACGCCTTGTGTTGGCTAGCCACCTTGAAGGACCCTTCAGGTCGCCTCGCACGATGGAGCCTGAGACTTCAAGAATATGTATGACATTACTGTCATTTACAAGTCCGGCAAAAAACACTCCGATGCCGACTGTCTCTCTCGTGCGCCTGTCGACCAACCGCTACCTGACGACCCGGATGACGACTACTTCTTGGGAACGATAACTACAGACGACTTCGCTGAACGACAGCGGGCCGACCCGGAACTTAAGGCCCTAATAGAATACCTCGAAGGCAGGACCGCCGAAGTCCCGAAGGTATTCAAGCGCGCACTTGCGTCGTTCTTCCTACGAAACGGTCTTCTACAAAAGAAAAACTTTTCACCGCTTCGAGCTAAGTACCTCCTTGTGGTGCCTTCAGCTCTGCGACCAGAACTCCTGCAGGCCCTACACGACGATCCGACGGCAGGGCACCTCTGTGTTCCTCGCACGCTCGCGAGGATACAAGAAAGGTACTACTGGCCACGTCTTACCACCGACGTCACTCGTTATGTGAGGACATGCCGGGACTGTCAGCGACGCAAGACACCGCCGACAAGGCCAGCGGGACTTCTGCAGCCAATTGATCCACCTTGTCGACCTTTCCAGCAGATTGGTATGGACCTACTAGGGCCGTTCCCGACGTCGGCTTTCGGGAACAAGTGGATCGTGGTAGCTACCGACTACCTCACCCGCTACGCCGAGACAAAAGCCCTGCCAAAAGGCAGTGCATCCGAGGTAGCTAAGTTCTTCGTCGAAAATATCGTCCTACGTCACGGCGCTCCGGAGGTCCTTATC